TTCTAAGAAAAGATGGAATTTTGGGCACAGCAGATGGTTGGGATCACTAATGTTCCGAGTACAGCAACAGAAGGGCAGATGGCCAAGGTTATTTAGGCCTCAGAAGCAGCAGAAAAGTCAAGATAAGGCCGGTTGGAGGAACATTGACGCAGATGTACCCAGCTTAGTTAAACAAAATGTGTTTGGAAAGTGGAGCTATAGGTTTTAACACACACACACACCCTGAGCAGTACTAATGTAATGATTTACTGAAACTTTGAGCACCCTAGTTCAATGTGAAATGTTGCAAGCATAGATCACTGAATAGTTTTATGTGAAATGTTACAATCATAATTACTAAATGAAAACATTGTTTTAAAATAATAAAAACTAAACTGAAAACTGTATTTTGACATAATAATAGCTAGAAAATAATGGTTGATGATTAAAAAGCAGCATATGTTATTATGACTTATAAGAAAAAGTAATCATGACATGTAATGAAGTGTTTGTTGATTAAATATATAAAAAATGTGTTTTGAAAAGGGCTTTCCACCGGTAAAATAAAATTAATTAGACTTAACCGAAGAAATGCATGTGAAATGATGAAAAAGAAAGGAGGAGCTTGGGGGAGGAGCCCCATAGCTTGAAATGTATAAAAGGGAAGCTGTTTCATTGTATTGTCAGTTGTTTCTCCGGAGAGCAGCTCAGTGTGAATGCTGTGTTTTGCAATAAAACACTCTGGACTTGGAGATCCGTGACCTCTGCCTGTTTTTTACATTCTTGGTTGAAGACTTTTTCTGCCTTTTGAGAACTTTGAATTTTCATAAAACTTAGTTTCAATTTTTAAGTCGTTAAGAAAGAAAATCCACGACATAACACAGTACCGAAATAAAAATAATTTTTACTTGCTCAGTACTGTGCCTTTCCTCTCAGGATTTACAAATGTGACCTGGAATTACTCTGAAAAAGCTCATGGAAAGGGGGCCCCAGATGGGATTGGTGGGGCAATAAAGAGAGAAGCGGATCTCTATGTTAACAGAGGAGGTGAGCTGCAGACACCAAAAGCTCTTTATGAGATGCTGACAAAAAGAAGCTCAAGTATCACTCTCTATTGGGTGACAAGTGAGAGCATTGAAAAATGTGACGAGTTGATTCCTGGCAATTTGGAGGCTGTAAAAGGCACCATGAAGATACACCAAGTTGTGTCATCACAGCCTGCAAAGATAACACACAGGGAAGTATCTTGCTTCTGCAAGCGCTTAGAGATTAGTCCATGCCCTTGTTACCAGCCAAAAATGGTAGACCTGAAAGCCACCATACAGCAAACCGGGAAACCTGAGGACACCTCAAGCTCTCCACCTGAGCCACCTAGGCAAGAAGAAAGTGTCCAAGATCTATGTGGAAGGTTTGTGATAGTAACCTACGACGAGCTTCCATATGTAGGTCAGGTCCTAAAGGTTGTGGAAGAGGAACTCCAGATAAGCTGTATGCGACAGTCTGATGACAAGAACTTGTTCTTATGGCCAAACACTCTGGATGTTACGTTCTACTTTAGAAAAGATGTTCAGGCTGTCATTTCAGAACCCGAGCCAGCAACTTCACGCTTCTCAAAGTTGACCTGCCAAGAGTGGGTAGCATTCAGAAATTGCTGGGGTTAAAGAAATGCCTACAATGTGTCTGAAGAATGCTGTTATGTTCAAGTGTTAAATGAAATCGTAAAAAAATGCAAATGTATGTTTAAGTGATTAATGAAATGAAAAAGGAAAATGCTGTGCAATGTTATGTCTAAGCGTTTCATGCATTAGTATAGAAAATATTAATATGATGGTTATGTGTCCAATGAAATAGTGAGGAAACTGTTAATGTTATGAAATGTATCAAATGAAATGGATATGCCGATTCTTCATAAAATTTCATTAAATGTGTTTAAACTATCAAAATCATTGATTAGTCTTAATTTCCTGCTGTTTTTCATTATGTGGGGCGACCACTTGTCATGTGGGGTAACCAACCATATTCAATTCTGTAGTAAATTCAAAAAATAATGTCTGTCCATTTTGGTTGAAATATAATTCTTTGGTATAACATGAATAAGTGGATACTATATCTACACATTTTAAATCAGTTTTATGGATTATATGAGTAAAAAAAAAATGTAATTGCTGTATGTAGTTGACACTGCCATTATAGATAAAAATGTATTTAACATCATTTGCAATAAATGAAAGGACAAATGAGTATATCTTTCTTAAACAGTTAAATTAATTACTGATACTTCTTAAAATATAACTTATGCAAAGGAAATCTATTAATTTTAAGATAAATTAAGGTCGCCCCAAATGACTTTTTTAAGGTCGTTGCCCGATTCATTTGAGTTTAAAAGCACTAAAATATCTTTGTTTGAAGTTTTCACACACATGCATGTGTAGACTACACTCCAAATGTTTAGAAAATAGCCAAATTTATTATTATTTCAAGTATTTTAAAAATGAGCCTCTCAAAGGCCTTATACGTCATTGACCCAAATAAGTATTGTATCTGGATACAACGTTTGAGTATCAATACTTTTGACAACCCTAATACAGAGTTGTTGATTAATGGCTTTCTCAAAACTTGCCTAAAAAAAAAAAAGGACATTAACCCGTGAGTTTCTAATGTAATGAGGTGAAGGAGTTTCTAGATGGAGATTTTATCACCAGTCAAACATGGTAAACAACTCTACTTTTCATTCCTGTGGAATTTAACTGCAGTGACTTATTCAAAAGGCTTCACACCTGTGTGAATTCTGATGTGTCTATCAAGATGAGATTTGTTAGTGAAGCTTTTTCCACAGGACAGACATTCAAAAGGTTTCACACCTGTGTGAATTCTCACGTGAGAAGTCAAATGACTCTTTTGAGTAAAGTTATTGTTACAAATGGTACAGGAAAAAGGCTTCTCACCAGTGTGAACTCTGATGTGTCTGTCAAGATCAGATTTGTTAGTGAAGCTTTTTCCACAGGACAGACATTCAAAAGGTTTCTCACCAGTGTGAACTCTGATATGTTTATCAAGATAAGATTTGGTAATGAAGCTTCTTCCACAGGACAGACATTCAAAAGGTTTCACACCTGTGTGAAATCTCATGTGAGAAGTCAAATTACTCTTTTGAGTAAATGTATTGTTACAAATGGTACAGGAAAAAGGCTTCTCACCACTGTGAATTCTGATGTGTCTATAAAGATTAGATTTTTTAGTGAAGCTTTTTCCACAGGACAGACATTCAAAAGGCTTCTCACCTTTGTGAATTATCATGTGAGTAGTCAAATCACTTTTTCGAGTGAAATTCTTGTTACAAATGGTACAGGAAAAAGGCTTCTTACCTGTGTGAATTATCATATGTGTATTAAGTCTAGATTTCTTTGTGAAAGATTTTCCACAGGACATACAATAAAACTTCTGACCTGTGTGAGTTCTCATGTGAACCATTAAATGCTTCTTTTTAAGAAAGTTTTCTCCACATGTCAAGCATGGGAAAGGTTTCTCTCTTGTATCTTTAATCTTTTGCTTCAGAAGAAGCTGCTCTCTCTGCTCTTTTATGGGGAGCTCCATGGTTTCCTCTTTTATCCAGGGATGTTCTGGCTTTTGATGCTCTTCTTTTATCTGCGGATGTTCCGATTCCTCTTGGTCCAAACTGGATTTCCTCTGCTGTCCACAGAGCTGCTGGTCAGAGAAATCCTCCTCTTTTCCAACATAATCCTGCAGGCGGTCTGGAAAGACAAACACAGCAAAAAGGCGTTCTATTGGTGGTTAAATAAAGGACACCTCACATAAAAGCACCACACTCTCTCCTTGAGGTTGAGGAGCCAGTGGATCCTATCAAGCAACATGAAGATATGAAGTTCATTCTGGCCTAAATTTATTTCCCCACAAACAATTATTAAGGAAAGTAAAGCATTTACATCTAACACCACAGTGACTGTCTGGCAAATGAGGAAGTAATGAGACACCCTAAACTCAGCAGCGCTTCCTGTACACCTCTGCCTGGAAGAGACATACCCCAGCTCAATGTGTCAGAGGTTGAGCAGGAGCTGCCATTTTAATCCCATATCATAGAGGTTTCTAGAATTTCCTTCTTTTATCTTCAGAGAAATATCCTGTCCAGGGGTGATGCTGAGAAACTAGTCCATGAAATTGTTACGTCAATGATGGACTATTGTAATTCTTTACAGTCAGGAAGTCCACAAACTGTAGTAAAAAGCCTTTAGTTGATCCAAAATGCTGCAGTCAGAGTCCTGATGAAAATTAAAAACAGACACCACATCTCTCCTATTCTAGCTTCTCTTCATTACTTCCTGTTAAGAATTTAAAATGCTCCTTATCACATATAAAGCTCTAATTAACCAGGATCCATCTGATATAAGTGATATGATTGTTCCTTACGTTCCTAACAGAGCACTTCGCTCTCAATCTGCAGGTTTACTAGTGGCTCATAGAATTTCTAAAAGTAGAATGCGAGGCAGATCTTTTAGTTATCAGGCTCCTCTGCTGTGGAACCAACTACCACTTGTAGTCAGTGAGGCAGACACCCTGTCTACTTTTAAGCTTAAAATTTTCCTTTTAGATAAAGCTTATAGTTAGAGTGGCTCAGGTTATCCTGAGCTATCTCTATAGTTATGCTGCTATAGGCTTAGACTGCTGGAGGACATAGGGACCCCTTTTAATAGCCATTTCTCCAAACAGCCATAAAACCATAGGTTTCCTGTAATTTGTTTAAATAATGACCCCACAGTGGTGATGAGTTCTATCCTCACTATCTGTGTTTCTATTGATTAGACTGCTTGTTGAATAGAGTTAAGAAAAAAACTGGGAAACAATTCCACCTGATCAAAATGCTGCTGTGTAAATAATGAGTTTGAAATATTTCTATTTAGTTCCTAAAAATGATCGACACTCAGGTGTTCCTCATAAGTTAGATCCTCGTGGAATGTATACCAAAGAAGAGAGCTATTTTTTTAAAACATAGGGATAAAATTAAGCCTTCTACTCACATTGTGTCCCAGAGCACTGTTTTCCCATAGAAAGGTTAGTTTCAATTTTGCAAAAAAAAAAACAACAACAAAACGAAAGAAAAAAAATGTCAAATGGTTTTCTCAGCTGCTACTGGCCAGGGGTCTATTTCGCAAAGCAGGTTTAAACAAGCTCAGAGTTAAACCCTCAACTCTAAATTGATCTAGCCTGCAGTTGAAAACTCAATATCAATAAGGCTGCTGTGAGTTAGTTTGATCAACTGTAAGTAGGTCCACTGTGACCTGAACATGTGCATATCAAGTAAGAAAAACCATTATCAGTGGAGCCCCAATTTGCTGAGTCATCATGATGACAGACAACAGTAAGGTTCAATTTCACACCACTGGAAATAAAGATTTTAATGAAGAAATGTAAAAACAAACTGGAAAAAGGGTTTAAAAGACAGAAACAGCGCTACATCTGCAAAGGAGAAGGACATTGTGTGGGAGAAGATTGCTGCTCCAGTTAATGCATAGGTTTATATAGAGTACCGTATGGCAGCCGTTTTAACATTTATTAAACACTCTTCTCTGTTGTTCCATTTATAGATCACTATAATAGGATTCTTTCTAATAGGATCTAATAGGATCTTCAGCAGGTGAAGATGAAGTCTAAAAACATTATCCTAACAGGTAGGACCCGTTCATCATCTCATGGGTTCCTCCTAAGTTGGATTCTGTCTCCTATTTCACAGTAAATACTAAGTGTCTGCTTGCAGCCGCTTTGGATGTTATCATCCCAATAAATGGCCGTTATTGGCGGTTATCAGTCCTATGGAATGGCTTCGGATCGTGCTAGTAGGCTCAGTAGGTTGGTTTCACTGAAACCCCAGAATTGATGAATCCATTTATGTGTAATCTAAAAATAATTTTAGTAGTTCTTCATTTAATATAAAAAAAGGCTCACATGTCGCTCATATTAAAGAAATAAAAAAATTGTAGAATCTTCTCCCTATAAATATCTGATTCTCTGCGAATTAATGGTGTTATGCCATATGCCATGATCATACTTTTTGGACATTGGGAAGCGGTGTCCATATTTCATCCTGATAGGATGACCAGAGAAGAATACGCAGCTTTGGTGAATAACAGCTGGGGGACTTCTGCAGCACCCCCTTTTTCAGCCAAAGCAGTCACATGGAAGTCACAGAGGTGTGACCAACCACCAACCCCCCTCTGTGAGGACAGAGAAAACCACAGAGCACACAGGATTCTCTCTCTTCTCTCTTTCTCCCTCTTCTGATCCAGCCTGCTTCTGCTCCTGCGCTCAAAGCTGGGGCCCACTGTGGCCCACAGTGGAGATGCGGGCCCCAGGGGAACCAGATCCCCAAAACCATCAAGGATGAGTCAGAACTCTTCAGAACCTAACTGCTGCAAACAGAGCTTTTGCAACACATTTCTCTTGAGTTTCAGAACGTACAGAGCCAAACTGGATGAGAACCATGCCCTGGGTGTGAGACTGAGGGGACCCCTGCTGTGAGACTGAGACAATGATTCCCTGACTGCAGAGCTGCAAAACTGGATGAAACTCAAGCTTTCCAAATGGACATGGAAAAAGGTTTGCAGGTCTGGCATGATTAGGGACAGAACAAGCAATGTGTCTTTTGATGATGCTAATCATATCATTTGTTTACTACTGAGTAAAGACAACGCTAATTGATGCTAAAGAATGGACTGCATGCTATGCTATGCTACAGGAATATGTGTTGAGCCGTTGCTAAAGCTTAGACAAGCTTTATTCACTAAGGATTTAAACACTGATATAACATTAGTGTTCATATGTTCCTCAGATGCTCATTACATTTCCATTACCAAGTCTGACCAAGAGTCATTTAGTGGAATCCTGATGTCTATTCACTGCTAGCTATTTCAAAGAAGGTAAAGAATCATTTAGCTAAAGGTTTTTGGTTCTTGATTAAGCAAATTATTTAATAAAACATTATTTGGCCAAATAATGTTTTATTCACCTCATGGATTTGCATTGTGAATTGGTCTGAAAACATTCAAATTTCTTTAAAATTAGTGAAAAGCTAATTTGATCACATTCCAAATTCTTCCAGATAAACTTTGGTTTCAAACACAGAATCGATCTTAAACTGTAATATTTTTCAACCGTTTTCCCCTTCCTCTTTGTACATAGTAGTTAGTTTAGTTTAGTTGAGTTTTACTAGTCTTAGTTGAGAGTGTTAAACTGAAATACATTTGACTTGGAGCTGAATGATTTTTGTTAATAAAATCTTATATTTTGAACAGAAGTTGTGGTGAATTTATTCCATGTATGTGCAGAAATAACTGTTTGACCATGATTAGTGCTCGAATCACTCTTTCATTTATTGTTCTAACACACAGTTAGTAGGACTGTGTGTCATAAACAGTATATAACAGCTGAAATAATATCTGATTAAATAAGATATTTTACCACCCCTACAGGGGAGGGCAATAAACATCTTAAAGTATCAGAAACATAAATTCCCAGCGGGCTGGGAATAGAATTTAACTATAGAATCACAACAATGGAGATCTTTCCTTAATAAGATCCTCGTCAAGAGGACATGAAATGTTTGTTTTTAAAGTAAATGATTTTACTTTATTGTATGCACACAATACCAACAACAAATCAGAAAATAAAACGTGATTGGCTCCCAAAAGAGTGGAGACAGAGGATACTTCCAGTTTACTCAAATAAACCTGGTACCGTCCACTCTAACACAGGGAGGCTCAAGTCCAGTCCTCAAGAGCTTCCATCCTGTAACTTTTAGATGCATCTCTTCTCTAACACACCTGAATCGACAGGCTCAATCCCCTCATTTAGCCCAGCAGAGGCAAAGTAACGAGCAGCAGATGTGTCTTATTTACCTTTCTGCTCCTCATCAACGGCGTCATTTTGCATTCCTCATGAACATTTGCAAATTCTAAACAGACTTTAGCAATAAAAGTAAACTATGAAAGACGTTTCTGCACTACATTTGATACCATTTAAAACTATTCCGTCTCGTTACTGTACTGTGACGGATGTAACTCAGTAAATTATTTAAAATAAAATGTTTGTCATATTTTGTTTTTCATGGTGATATTTTTACTCATTAAAAAATGTAAGTACAGATAGTGTGAAATGCCAAATTTCAAGGAAGAATCAAAGTTTATTAATAATGATATGAACTTCCCATACTAAAGAAATTCCCTGAATAGAGAAAATGGGACACCTTAATTCACCAAAGAATGATGAAGAATAAGGGGCTGCTCGGTGGCGCGGTTGTTCTGGGTTCGATTCCCGGCCCGGGGTCTTTCTGCATGGAGTTTGCATGTTCTCCATGAGCATGCATGGGTTCTCTCCGGGTACTCCGACTTCCTTCCACAGTCCAAACACATGCCTTTTAGGTTAATTGGCTTGTTTAAATTCCTCTTGTGAGTGTGTGTGTGAATGGTTGCTTGTCCTGTGTGTTTCTGTGTTGCCCTGCGACGGACTGGCGACCTGTCCAGGGTGTACCCCGCCTCTCACCCATTGACTGCTGGAGATAGGCACCAGCACCCCTCGCGACCACAATTGGGACAAGCCTGTCAAATAATGGATAGATGGATGGATGATGAAGAATTATTATATGAATATTAAACATTTTATTATGATATTATAATATAATAATAATTATATTATATATGATATTTATTGTATTACCGTAAATCCTCTAATATAGGCCCGGGCC